CCTTGAGCAAGCACTCACTTTCTACTCCTAACTCCATGATTCATAGGAATTTCAGGCAGAAACAGCACATCAACCTCTTGTGTTGGCAAAAGCAAGTTCAGTACTTAGTAATCAGAATCTACCATCTGATTATATGTGTAGAAGATCTTGTGCTAAGTTCTGGTTTACTTTGGTTTGAGATCAAGAGGCGACAATAACGAAGAAACATGGTCTATCTCCAATATTCAATGAGAACTGACAAGCAGAAATAACAAGCAACCAGATGCTTCCTGCATAAATGGCACGTGAGATGCTACACAAGTATGAAAAACTGAAGAGCCTTGGCCTAATTCCTTCAGTTACCAAAGGACTACTCACAGGTGATGAAAAAAAAGCAGTTCCAGTCACCATTTTAAATCCTATTTTCAGTCCCATCAACCAGAGAGTTTTAGGAAATGAATTTAATCTCCATGTGACACTGTTCTCTCCTTGAAGTCACTGGGAGGACCCTAAGAGAATGCATGGGATAGTACCTAGAGCATAAGCCTGGCCAACAGGCGTATTACAAATATGTACACCAAATGTCCTGCCTGAAACACCCTTCAAAGCAGACTAAGAAATATTTATTTCCATGAAAATACATTTTTCCCAATTTTCCTAAATCAAATGCCAGAGATCTGGTAAAAGTCTTGAGTAGCTAAAAATTTGGCCTCTTTCACAGAATTCTGGACTGAGGGAAGCTTTAAGAAAACTTTTAATCTTCTCAGAGTACTTGCAACATTTATGAGTTTTGATGCCAAAGGAAAATGGGGGGAGATGGCCAGCATACTCCTGAACCCACCTGTCAGTGATGGGACAACAGTCACAAGCAAACATGCCCAGCTTTTTTGCCAGACCAAACTCAGGTCCTCAAGCTTACAAAAAACACTTTCTCAGCTCCGACTTCAGCAATTCTGGTGAAGTCTTTTATTTTTACAATGATTTCATTTGTGTATAGGTGGGCATGCATGTGCCACAGCAGGCATGCAGAGGTCAGAGGACAGTCTGAGGAAGCTGATTCTGTCCTTCCACCATGTGGATACTGGAAATCAAACAGGTCATCAGGCTTGGCAGTAGGTGGCTACCTTTGCCTGCTGAGCCGTCACTCAGGCCCTAAAAAGGTTAAAGGTAACAACAGTAAAAAAATAAAACAAAAGTAGAAAATGCCAACTAGTTAAAATAAGCTGAGACAAACTGCTCACAGGTTGATGCAATTAAATAAGGTTTTAATTCTTCACTCAGTTTTTGTTTTCAAAGACATAAATTTTACATATTTATATAATTGTCTAAATTCAAAATATATTTATCTACTAACCAGTAGTATTAATACACTTAGAAATTTAATAAACTTGAAATACATCAAATTATAAAATTATTATGATCTAACAGGTCTCAATACACAACTGTTTCTACCCTGATTTATTATTACTTGGTATTTTTTGATGGTTCTTTAGTTTGTGAAATGTATCTAATGTCTTCTACATTGTTTATGCTATTGTCCTAGAGCAGAAAACAGCTGTCCTCCTGAATCCACCCTTCAACTGATACATACAAAACTTTAACAGGTTGTATGGTAATTAAGGTAAGTACTGTCAGGTGGAAACAAAAGTTGCTAAAGAAATTCTAAACTTACCAAGATTGAAACATTGAAAATTAATAGTTCAATAGAAATTGTCCTGCATTAAGTTAGATCTGACTTGGCTCAGACGCCCACTGTCCCTGACCTAAAACTGACAATCATTCTGCATTGCGGAACTCAGTGTATAGTATTTAATGGCAATCATTACATAGTAAAAATCACCACCACCACCACCCCCACACACAGCTACAGACTTGATTCTACTGTAAAGGTGAGTATGCACAATAAGTTCACCATGAAAAATGCATAGTTTAATCAACAATAAAATGTCTAACCTTGGGTTCCAAGTGGAGCTACTCCAATTCAGTAACTATATATTGAGTTCCTTGGTTATCTACATAAACAGGAGGTATTTCAGGAACAAGAGCTTACCCCAGGAGGCTAAGAGAACTCTGTATATATTCAGCACTAAAAAATAATAATCTGTGTATACTGAAAGCATGCATGTGGTGAAAGGGAGGTAGTAGGGACAGTAGTTTGTAACAGAAAAAAAAAAAAAAAGATGTCAGAGGCAAGTAGGAAAACTGCCTCAGGCTTTGTGGGTCAGTACCCTAAGTTCAGATTGCCTCTCTCAAACAAACACAGCAATCATAGAAGACTGAAGCAAAGGTCTGAACTGTGCAGAACAGATAGGAAAGCAGCCACATGAAGACAGATAAACCAGTTTAAAAGGTCGATTTCCTAATGTAGGTGATGCAGGCATGCATTAAAAGGCAATTCCATGATGATGAAATGTAAGGCTTTTAGGAGCTGGAGAATACTTCAGGACCAGAGCTGTGCTTAACATGTATGAGGCTACAGACTAGACAGAAAAAGTCATTTGTTTACATTCAGCTCTCCGATTTTCCATACACCGATGTAGAACTCAGAGAAAGCTGCTATTCTCTCTACATCTTATTTCTTTCCCATAACTCAAGATACAAAATCTTCACAGGACTGTCCCCCCCCCCCCCAAAAAAAAAAAAAAAAAAAAAAAAAAAACTAAAATTATATGTAAACACATATACACACAGCAGGCAGCATGGAACAATGCAAATTTATTATTAATATATCCTAAGTGAGCAGGGTGTTGGTGGCACATGCCTTTAATCCCAGGACTTGGGAGGCAGAAAATATAGAGATATATATATATATATATATATATGCCTATATATCAAGTGAGACAGAGAAATAAATGTAAAGTGTTTAGAGGACAGTAAGGCATGGTGGCTCACAAAATGATCCCAACACCCAAGAATCTGAGGCCACAAGCCACAAATAGTTGGGATGGACAGCTCGACTGCAGAGGGAAAGGAAGAGGGAATAGACTCTAAATTCTGGCTTGAATACTGGTGCTATTTGGTAAAATTAGAAACAAGTTTTAACACGTGTTCTTTTTAAAATATACTGATTTCACAATAAAATGGCAGTCCATGGTTAAATATGTAGCTTCAAAGAAAGAGAAACAGACCAAGCTAGAGGTATGACATTCATAGACAGACAGTAATTATTAAATCCCTGGGCATTGATGAGAGCTCCCAGAGAATGAATGTGAAGAGTGAAGAACTGACAATAGGTAAAAGCCAGGGAATACCAGCATTCAAAGAACATTGAAAACAGGAACCAAAGAAGATAATGGTAGTGTATGTCCAGAACCAAAAGGAGCAATGTGTCTCAAAGGAAAAAGAACACTCAGCCAAATCAACCTGCCAAGAAGGAGAACAAGTTAAGAACAGAGTATTCATTGGATTTGGCAAGTGAGTCACATGATAAATGAGTGGAGCACTGCTAGACAGACCCTCAACATACAGACAGAAGACTGCTGATGAGAAAACAAAACACCCTGCAGTAAGGACTCTGAGAAAGACAAAGTGACATGATACAGGGCGGACTACAAGGCAGAGGGGCAAGTTCAGACAGGGAGATGAGGGGGGATCTCTTCAGAAAAAATATGTAAGCTGACATGTAATGCAGAAAAGGACAAAGCATAGCCACAGAATTGAGAGGAGACTCATGTGGCTATAGAAGGATGTGGGTAGAAAAGACAGAGATAAGCTAAAGACTGTCTGTAGGTCACACTGGACATGGCCTGTTGGCCATTTGTGGATAGGGGTCACCACTCTGGCTAACAGCTTTCCCTCATTCACACTAGTCTTAATAATCAGAAACAGGGAGTCTGATTCTCTTCAGCCACTATCTTAATATCAGATAAGATTTTCTGTTTCAAAATACACAAATTATTTCTCTGTTGTTTTAGTTTCATTAACCTCATTTTAAGATTTGGATTTTTATTTTTAATTATGTGTACCTCTAGGGAAGAGAATGCACATGAGTTTAGTGTCTTAGGAGGCCAGAGAGAGGGCATCAAATCCACTGGACCAGGAGCAACAAGTGGAAGTGACATAGCCAAGGTAGGAGCTGAGAAGCAAGCCACTGCACTCTGTAAGAACATACTCACTCAATCACTGAGCCATATCTCTAGTATTTCTTTTTGGAGATATGTGTTATAATATCTGTTTGGTTTCATCATTAAACTCCTTTTCTCTGAGGTACTTTTCTTTGAGTACTGTACATCAGATGTTAAGAAGACGCAACAAGGTGTTATTAACACACACTTACAGCTAGTAAAGTTTAAAAACAAAAAATGTTAAATGAAGCTGCAGAGACAGCTTTAGTGGTTAAGGGCACTTCCTGCTCTTCCAGTCAAGTTTGATTCCCTAGCACCCATGTGGACACTCACAACCATCTGTAACTATCATTTCACGGGATCCAGTACCCTCTTCTGGCCTCTGCAGGCACCTGGCACACATGTGGTATACATACATATTCAAGTGAAAAATTCATATTCATAAAAATAAACACCTTTTATAAAAGGATTATATTCCATAGTTTCAGTTCTCCATTTCTTTTATCTATCACTTAAAGACATGTATATGACATTAATACAGAAAACTGTTTCTGTTCAGAGCAACTGAACTGAATGATCATGGTTTTTAAATTTCATTATCTGCCATAGACAGAATCTATGGGCCTTCCATATTTCACAAGGGTTTCAATAATAATAATTAATATAATAATAAATCCTACCATGTAACCTAGTATCTACTAATTATCCAGCAAGAAAGCTAGGCACATCATATAAATTATTTTTAATCATTCAAGTACCTATGGAAAACAGATATTATTCTCCCCATTTTATAGGTATGCAGAGAGGTTAGGTGAAATGCCCAAGATTACAAAGCTGACATTCAAGTCTAGTTCCACATGCTTGAATTTATGGGCACTAAACTAAAATGCCTTAAACTATTAACAAACTGGGTTCTTCAATATATGTCACATGAGATATTAAACCATAAACATAAACTTTCAAATTATAAAAAGAATATTTAATTTAAATGAATATTTACAACCAAAAGATTAGCCAGATACATTATGCTAACATGTCTCCCTTATAGCATAATAACTTCATTTCTAGTTGTTTCAATATTGGAAAAGACACATAAAAGAAAGCTAGAACAAATTATGATATTATATTTAAGAATAACTAGTCTATACCAAAAATCTTCCCACCTGATCCTTGGGATACATACTCAATCCAGTGAGTTTTATTAGCAGTTAACTGCCTACTCCAAAAACGTATTTGTCTCTCAAAGTTAAAAACTACAAGTGGCATAATGTGTTTCAAAATCCAAAAATGCTAACTTCTGATTAAAAACATTAAATTTCTTATTTCTCTGAATTTGAAAGTCTAATAAAAAACAAAAACATCATAATTTACTATGTATTTATCATACAGAGGACTCTCCTAACAAGATTTTTTTTCAGATAGCTAGTCATCCATCAAAACACTATGTGAAGAAAGTCTAGATATTTAACAAAGAAAAAACACTGCCAGGTCATCTTTATTTTCCTTAACAAAACAAGCACACAAAAAATTCATTTATATATCATCATTATTTTACAAATATAAATAATACCAAGAATTCAAGTACAGTCAAATGCAGATGCAGTTCCTATTTGTTAATATGTAAACATAAACTAACTATATACATCACGTGGCTTTGGCCCAGCTGCAAAACAAAAGACATCAAAAGAAACTCTGCACTTGACTGTTCAGTTGCATTCTTCTTGAGAATTCGTACCAATGCCTATGTAAATAAGGTTACAGCTTTCAGTATCACTTAATGTAAACACCTAAATAGATATTTCCTTCCCACTGGCAAATATCTCAGGAGTTAAAATTTAATGATGAAGTATTCAAAATCTTAATTATATTTCAATGCTTAAGCACTATTAAAGAAATTATTCCTAGCCAAAATTGTTCCTATGTCAAAATGGATATTATTTACAAGTTATAGATGTAGAAAACAAAAATGTTTCTTTTCTTTAAACTTTAGAATGCACAAAGTCTCTAACAGCTATGTGGGTCTCTGCACATTCACTGATACCACGTGCTTTTACTTTCAATGCCCAGTTGATGGGACTTGAACACACTGAACTTGCTAGGCAATTTGAATTTGAATAGCATTAAGCATATATCTAAAAAGTAATTTTTTTGAGTACCACACACAAAAAAAAAGCAATAACTGACATCAACAAGACTACAAATAATCCAGTTGAAGGCACATGGGATTATTTACTATTGTGTCACCAAAGATTCTCCACTTGGTTCAAGATTAGAAACAGAGTCAGCTCTGAGAACTGTTGACTTGGCTTCGTCTGTTGATGCTTCCTCTTTCTCAGTCTCTTCTTGTTTCTCCTTTGGTTCCTCTGAACCAGATGTTTCTTCAATCACTTGGCTTGTCTGCTCTGTCACTGGTATTTTGTCATCTCTCTGCTCTGTACTATTATCAAGAACATCTTGTCCTTCTAAAGATTCTGTAAAGAGAAAGACATCAGACTTCAGGAATATCCATATGTCAAGACTGCTAAATAAGGCAAAATCAAAGATAAACAGACACACGTACTAAGAAACAGTAGAATTGTCTATTACCTTTTAAATCTTCTACAATAAGTTCTTAACTCTCTAGCATATCACTTAGGTATTAGTATAACTGACTAATTGGAGGAAATAAACCCATACTTTTATAATTTCATATACATTAAGCTTCTAAAGATACATCTGCAAGCTCAATGTTCAAAATTGAGCCCTGGCTCCAACAGGATGAGAATTTATAGTGCATTGAATTTTTTTTTTTTTTGACAACTTGACACAAACAAGTCATCTGGAAAGAGGGAACTGAACTGAAGAACCACCTCCATCAGACTGGCCTGTGGGATTGGGGCATTTCTTGATTAATGATTGATATGTGAGGGACCCACCAGCCCACTGTGGACAGTACTACCCTTGGGCAGGTGACCTTGAGTTAAATTTTTAAAAAGCAAGTTGAGCAAGTCATGGGGAACAAGCCAGTAAGCAACACCCCTCTGCAGTACACACTTCAGTTCCTGCCTGGAGACTCTTGAGTTCCTGACCCAACATACCTCAGTGATGGACTGTGACCAGGGAGTTGGGAGTTATAAGGTGAATAAACCATTTCTTCCATGAAATTGTTTTAAGTGTTTTATCACAGCAATAGAAGACAATAAGACTCAAGAAAACAAAACAAAACAAAATGTATACTCTCCCCTGTTACTGAATAGAAAATTGTTTCCTTACACCTAAGCAAAACTGTAAGCAATGTATAAATGTATGCTTTTGTGTATATGCATATATGTACATGTATGTATATGTAGACAGGATTCTCCAGACCTTATATACATCTTTATTATTCAAGGATGAGAGAAGTCAAAATTCACCTTTCCAACTGTATGTCTTGTCTTTCTTTATCCCTATCCAAGCCCTCACTATTTAAATTTAGGAATTAGAATATGCTACATACTTTAGTGTGCTAGAACAGAGAAGAGGTCTTTTGCCTTCTGTCTATACACGAAAGTTTGTCCCTACATGAAAATTTACTCCCTTTGAATTCTAATTATTTTTTAGTTTTAATTTAAATCTCTTAATAACAAAAAGTTTATTAACTTTCTTAAACTCTTTAAATATTAAAGAATAAGGTGGGGAAGGGAGTGACAGAAGCAGCGAAAGCTTTGAGTCATCTAATCTTCAAGTCAAAGGCGAAAATCTAGCTTTAAGCATTTCCCTTTATTTCATAATAAACTTAATATTCTTGCTAGCAGAAAAGTAATTAAACCATATGAGATAAGCAAAAGACAAAATTTCCTATACTCATAAATGTTCTTTATGACAAACTACAAGTGTTATTGAAAAAAAAAATCTGGGGGAAGGCCAGCCTGCTTAAGGAAAGGTTCTAGTTAAATTCCTTGTAACATATAGCCAAATTTTCACAAATTAAATAGTTTGGCAAGAAAATTATGTGTATTATGTACACACTATTGTAGAAGTACCAGAAATCCATGGTTTTAGCATAATAGTTTTAATAAACACAAGCACACCTTTCGTCAGAACTTGGAAAATATTTTTAAAGTATTACCTCCTAAACCAGATATTCTGGACTCCCATCTACAGGATTAGTTTTACAACTACTTTCTCCTTTTATAGAATAAAAGATCCAGATTCCACAGTTGGGGGCATCCACATAATGGTGTCTTACTGTATGACAATCCAAACAGTAGAGATCACAAAAGCAGTGAGGAATGGCCATAAATCGTACTTGTGACACATGATTATGGAAATCCTGGTTTGTTATAATACAGAACTTAAATGGTATTGCCACACCACTTGAAATCTTAACGGAAACCCAGGAAAGAAAAGCACCACTCAGTTTTGTTAACCAAGCAGGGCAGAAAGGAAAAGTGAAACTCTATGTATACATACAAATCATTTCTGGTACAAAAGCAACCACGTTCTGCAGAAAACTTATGAGTTACTAACCATTTGTAATTCAACCCTCACAGAATTTATTCACAGGAGAATTTTAAGAGTCACAGTTTTCCACAACTCTCTGGCCATAAACCAGTATTTATTCAGCAATAACTTTGTCATTTGTCTAGTAAGCATTCTAAAACCAACCCATCAAGCCATATAAAATGAAAAACAAAAAGCTAATAACATAGGGCACAATCCACAAGCACCATGCTTAAGTGAACATAGGCACATACAATTGGCTAAATTCTAACACACTAACAGAGGGGTCAAGGTTCAAAGTTTATTATATTAAACTTTCATACTATAACTTTAAAAACCTTACCAAGTCAAAGACTATTTTAAAATTCTAGGTTTGTGTAAAAAGCTGATACAAAGAATAAAACTGGAAATTTTAAACATCTATAATACATGAATTCAAAGAAATACCATGTGTCTCAATACTTAGAAAATATGACATAGTTTCCAGTCAAAATTTCAGAAAATATATGAAAAACTAAAATCTTAATGAAATGGTAAGTAGGGACTGAAAATAACTGAAGTGCCTATTTATAAATACTTTTCTTGGGTTGATCTGTAGAAGAACAATCTTGATGGGAACAACACTAAAAAAGAAACAGGCATGTTACACACCTATTATGCAAATTAGTTAGCATTTGGTGTTGAGAAGTCAATTCCACCTTTCAGGAAACCCTACAAGATCTATAAGACCAGGCGCACAGTATTAACAAATTATGTAACAATTTGACATTTAAATACTAGAGCATTATAATAAGACCATGTATTATCTCCAAAGTACACATTTCTATGGGAGCATCATTTGCCTATTCTAATAAAAACAATAATTGGCTTTTTTTTTTGGTCTTGTTCAATGAAGCTTCAGTTTAAACTAGTTTGGCAATATAAAATACAGTTTAAAAGATGTTAGTATTTGACCATAAGATACCAAAAGAATAAGACTCAAAATAGTAACCTGAATGACCTAATTATATATGTAAGAAAAAAATCATCCAAATCAGGTTTGGCATATATAATGCAAAACAAACAAAATAGTATATCATAATGTGATAAAACAAAAATGATATATCAATCTGTTTTGTTCCTTATTCATATCCACCACCTTCCATTCCAATATACTAAGAAGGCAATGTTTTTTTACCAAATTATAGCAATTAGTAACTGACTGACTGTTTAGGCTAAGCCTCAGCTCAGCTAGACGACTCAAACTCAAAACAACATAACTGTATAATAAAAATACTATTCTTTAACCTACAAACACACACATGCAAAAAGATATAAGAGCCTTGACTCAGCTTTAGATTTTTATCCTAGCTCTCAAGAAAGAAAACTAAATAATCTAGTAAAACAATTTAATTTGTTTTAGCTTTAGTTTTAGAAGAAAACTTGGTCACTATGTATGTACACTATCCATATTCCTTCCCATCATTAAATTAAAATTGACAATTTCAGTCTTTAAGTCCAGAGGTTGTAAAATAGGCAATTTTGACTTCCTTAAGGTCAGTATATTTAAGGAACAAAAGCATGAATTTCATCCCAATTCATAAGAATGACTCAATAAATAATCCAATTAAATTATAATCAGTTTTTTAAAAAACAGTCAAAATTCAAAACATAGAATATTGTCTAGTTATTTATATTGATGAACAATTCAATTAAACAAATTAGGAGTTTCAATATGAAGCAATGACTTAAAACTAATCCATCAGGTGGAAGTATTTAGAAAAAGCAATCAGAAGATCAAATTATATCTAAATCAAAAGAAATTACAATAATATACTATTCAGAAAGTTCAACATAAAGGCTGAATCTTTGGTGAGCAGTCTGATACACAAGAGCCAATAAAATTTTCATTGTCAAATGGCAAAATTTCCTAGAGCATCATAAGAAAAACACTAAAAACAGAATTCTTTTTCATTCAATGTAACCCAATAAATAGTAACAATATTTTACATATAAGGAAAAAAAGGACAGATATTAGATTACCATATTTTATATTATATAAAGTTTACTTAACTATCATTATTGGATAGGAGCCATGAATTTTCATCATATCAAGTAAACAAAAGACAACTTTCAACTAAAGCAGTTACCTGGGCTTGAGACAAACATAACTAAATAATGGAAACAATATTTTTTCAAGCACAGTAGCAAAAGAAGGAACCACCAAACTCACACAAGAATGTGGAGCCCTCGTTGCTCTAATTAGTACATCTATGAATAGAATGCTAGATATAAAGGATTTTATTTATCATTATTATTAGTGTTGGGGTAGTGTATGTGCCACAGCACACATGTGAAAGCCAAAGGACAACACTGTGGAACAGGTCTCTCTTTCCACCATTATGCAGTCTCAAGAGATCAAACTTGGCTCATCAAACTTTCATGGCAAGTGCTTTGGCTCACTGAGTCATCTTGCTGACCAGAGTTTTGAGGGTAGGGGAAAAAAAACCCAATCAACCACTTTAAATGTCAGTTGGAAGAGTTGATTTTTTATGTATTTATATATTGTATATTTACACATTATCATTTACTCATAAAGGGAAATAAGGAATCTAAAAACAAATCCATTTTGGGCATGCCATATCTAGTTCAGTTTTAGAAATATAGCAATTAATATCCCTAGTTTCTTGTGCTTTTGTTATTGTCTGCTGTCAAAGTTTCTGGATGTATAATTCTTGAATGTAAAAATGTGCAGGGATTAACAGTAATTTCTTCTAGGTCTCTTTGGTGAAAATCTGACAAGATTTCAATGCTATTCTAAAAAGTGATGCAGAAATTTTAAAAACCTCACCCTAAATGCAAATTCTTCTAATATCTAAAATTTGAAATTTGCAGATAAAACTTAACTGCAAAAACCTGTGGCATAAACTGGGAGGAAAAATTCTTGGTTCTAGATTTATATAAATCCTTACTGATATTTGTTGGAAGAAAACTTCAGAAGGAAGTTATCTTTTTCAGTGTATTTGTAAATTCAATGACATACTCTATACAGTTCCTGCTCTCAAGAAGCTATTTCAATGTGCTTTAAAAATATAAAATGAAAACAAAATTCCTGTCCAGTCCTCAATTTTCTACAACACTGATGAATTTAGAAATCAGAACTTTAATCTCCCAGCTACATTGGCTACTGGCACAGAACAGGTGAAATTATACTGTCCAACTTAATTGCTCAATTTAACTAGTGTTTAAAATAAATGCAGCTCTCTTTGTTCATCAGAAACATTTGGCATCATTTGCGACAGGATCCAGCTTTGGACTGATAATTTTATTATTATAGTCTTGGAGAAAAGTTTCCATCTTCTGAAGAAACAAGAAGAAAAAAGGTGGTCGGCCACTCTGATGAATCCAAAGAGAAAGTATGAAAAATTGACTACTCCAAAAATGTCCTTAATAAAATGGAATTACTGCTTCAGCTTTTAGTACTAAGGAGTCATCAGACTCTGCCTCAAGTGTCGTCTTCACCTATTAACATTACCTTACTGGGGTTCACTTTGAGCCAGTTAGACTTCATTCCGGAGATTTCAGATAGAAAATGAGACATCTGAGGTATTGTTCCTCCTAGATTAGATGAGAAGGAAAGGTATAGCTGTGTGTTGTTTGCTAACTATCCATCTTGATCTTAGTAGAAGAAATAAAGAATAGGACCCATTATCAAGATTTATATTTTGTTGGATTTTTTTTTCTTTTCCCCTTTAAAAATAAATCAAATGAAAAATACTATTGGCTTTCAAGCATTCACTTTAGCTTTCATAAGCAAGGTTACTCATGGAAGGGACTTCAGTTTTTCCTCTAGGCATCTTCAGTATAAAATCCTTTATTCTCAGTTCCAAGAGGCCACAATGCCAAGGCAGATGGTTTGCATGTGTCAGCATGCAGCTCAGAGCATGACTTAAGCAAAAGAAAGAGGTTGATACTGTATGGAGTTGATGCTGCAGACTTGGAGACGAAGATGCATTCACTCAGCGTTGGAAGTACACAGGCTCAGTCATAGCTGTCTGTCTGTATTCATGTTCACTTTGATACTTGTTAGTAAGCCAAAAGCCAAGCCCAATTCCACACATATTTCAGGTTCATTCCTCAAGTATAAAAAAAGGAACCTTAAATCTCATACTAACCTTCTGATATCTAGAATATTCACTGCTTCATATAATCCAGCTAAAGCAATTTTAATACTTCTATGAAAAATAAATCAAATGTATATAAATAATTGCTACAAAATTTATGAACTTCTATAATGTTTTTATACACTAGGCAATAGTACCAAAATATTATGGTCTGTTTCATAATTTTGGCCATCTTCATAATTTAGAACTGAGAAAAAAAAAAAACATGAGTGAATACTACTAACACAAAATACTTGACAGTTTTCAATTTTACCTTTTCCATTTTTTCATGAAACCTCCTTAAGAATTCCTAAGATAGCCGGGCGTTGGTGGCGCACACCTTTAATCCCAGCACTCGGGAGGCAGAGGCAGG